TATATATATATATATATATATATATATATATATATATATATATATATATATACATAATTATATTTTTTACTACAAGAGAGAAGTCTCTTAAGTAGTACGACGCAAAAATCCAAATAACCTAAAATCGTAGTTTCATCGTAATTAAATTAACGATATTTTTTATTTTAAAGAAATTCTATGACAATTCCATTTTTTGCGTCAAGAGAGAAGTCCCTTAAGAGTTACAGCGCAGAAATCGAAAAATTACCTGAATATGAGAGCGCATAATTTCTACATGTCTATTTTGTTAAATAAATTGTTATTTATTGGTGTGAGAAAGCTGATTTTTGCTGCCGACCTGGCCCCCATTCCCCTACAAAAAATATTTTTTTTGATGCAATGGATGGAGCGCAAGAATTTTGCATGTTATTTTCGAGTAGCGCATAAATAACATTAATTATGTAATTTTGCTATTCATTTCAGATTAGATGAAGGGGTTAGCTAGGCAGACGTGTGTTCAGCATTTAATTGGCCGTGACAATCAAGAACGTCGTGATAAACGATTTTGTTTTTTGGCACGAACTCAGTTTATAGGACATACCTGATCTCCTCCATATCCAGTTCGTCAATTTCGCTCTTTCTACTTTTCTTTTAATTTTTATTTCCTCTCTCTCTTTCTTTCTCTGTCTCTTCCTCTCTGTCTCTTTCGTCGTTCGGTTACGCATTTCTAATTCGCGCGTGCAACGCGCATCGGGGCGAGACGAGATTCGACTCGATGCGATCGAGAGAGATGACGGAGAGCTCCGAATAATCACGAACGGACCGAGAAAATTAAACTGGCAGAGATGAAGCGCGAATGTACGAGCGACGCGGGAACGTAACGGGAAATAGCAGATCGCAATTAGAGCAGGCGTGAGCATGCACGCGTGTAATAAGTCAAAAACGCTATACGAAACGTATCTTCTTTCCAAAAGAGAAAGAAAAATCAATAAAAATACTTTAGTCAGGCTCTACTTGTCCCTGCCGCATATTTTGATCTTCGATCGGTGCACATTTTCTCCGTCTTCTTCGTCGAT